CAAGACACTGTATAAGGGCATGCCCTTTTATTCTGGGAGGGGGTTTAATCGTTCTTTTGTATATTCATCACGTGAATCAACAATCCATCTAAAATTAAAATGTTTTCTTTTAATAAAAATCAAAACATATTCACACATACTTATATGCTTGCATAAGAACAGCTGGTCCAAGATATTTATCAGAATTCCACCAATAACTTGGACATGATGTTGAACAACATGCACATAGAATACATTCATACATACCATCCTAAAATAAATTGGATTTAAAAAAGACAAATAGAACATTCATTCAAAATATATACAAACCATTTTTTTACGATCTTCAACACTTTGAAATAATTGTTTATTACCAACAGCTGTTGGTGTTTTACGTTTTAAATAAGGTTCAATCATTTTATAATTGCATATAAAAATTAGTAAAATCCTAGAAGAATAAATAAATAAAACAAAATAAGTGAATAAAAAAATTTTTATTTTAGCCTACAGGAACAAGATCCTTAATAACATACATGTGTGGAAGTGGATGAATTTTTAATGGTTTACTTGAATCATCGATTTTACTAAAAAATATCAAAGCAAAAAAAAACACAACAATAATTTATGTGTTAAGGATAAGAATTTATTCGAACCAAATGCAAGCAAGTGTATTACGACCATCAATATTCATTGAGCAACTTCCACAAATACCTTCACGACATGAACGACGAAAAGCTAATGTTGGATCAAGTTCATTTTTTATTTTAATAAGAACATCAAGCACCATTGGACCACAACTATTAAAAAATTAAATCGTAAAAAATATATTCAATATCAAGGAATACATACTCATTTAAATCTATTTTATAATCTTGTAAATATGGTTTTTTATTTGGTTCTTCAGGATTCTATTAAAATGAAAAATGAAAGTGTTTCATGAGCATACGAGACTATGTAAATTATCCAACGATAAATTGAAATAGTTTTTATCCGAGATTGTGATTCACGTTTTAGATGTTTCATATCGGGTTGTTTTGTATCCGGTACATTTATTTTTGTTGCTGCTGCAGCGGTAGTATTTCGAACCTAGATCAAAGTAATAATAATAATAATATAAATATTTAGAACAGATAAATAAAAATGAACATGCCTGTCCAATAAATGATCGACAGGCACCACCAGTTACTGTTGTTGTATTAGTAAGTACACGAAACATCTATGTAACATAGAATTTTTAAACGAGAATGTTCCTTCTTTTATAGTTTCGTTGGTTAGGCTACAAGCAAGCCTACTGCGGTATCTACCAGTGGCGGATCTAGGATTTTTAAAAACGTTATATCTCACGTTCAGAGCATGGGACCCACATGAAACTTATGTAGGATGATATTGGATCCAAATGGAAGGTTTTTATGAAAAAAAATTTTCGATCGAAGTTTGCGAAAAAATTTTTGTTTTTAAAATCGCCACCCCCTCAAATTTTTTTTGTTTTTAGCGATGATCTATTGTTAAAAATTTCATCGTAATCTACATCGAATTTCATCGACAGATTCCAAATTTCATGTAAAAATATGCATCCATTCAGAAGTTATAACGTTTTGAATCTTTGTTCCGTTTTTTGGGACATATTTCAAAAATTGAAAACGTTATAGCTCCTGAACGGATGCATATTTTTACATGAAATTTGAAATCTATCGATGAAATTCGATGTAGATTACGATGTAATTCTTAACAATAGATTATCGCTACAAACAAAAAAAATTTGAGGGAGTGGCAATTTTAAAAACAAAAGTTTTTTCGCAAACTTCGATCGAAAATTTTTTTTCATAAAAACCTTCCATTTGGATCCAATATCATCCTACATAAGTATCATGTGGGTCCCATGCTCTGAACGTGAGATATAACGTTTTTAAAAATCCTAGATCCGCCACTGATCTAGTTGATCCTGAAAATATATAAATCTTGATCAACGACTCAGTTATAAAAAAAAATATCACATATGCGTAGAAAATCATTTATTCTGCTTGTTAATAACCATTGTATAAAGGAGAAAAGTCTAAAAAAGGGTTAGCAAATAAGTCTGCATATCCTAATGGACCACAAAAGGAATAAAGAACAGAATGAAAAAAAAAGGAGAATCAAGAGACCAGTCAAAGTCTCTTATGAAATGAGTCAAATTTTATTAATTAATTAGCATGGGTTCCAAATCTGAAGAGTACATAATGGGAAAAAACGGTTCTTCACTAGAAAAATAACTTGGTATTAGCTTAAACGTAAATTGAAATCAGTCTTCAGCTAATAGTTAATCCATCAATCAGAATTGAAAAGGTGTCACTAAACAGTAGGCAGTTTACAATAAATGCAATATATTTGCGATGTGAAGTGTCACTCTTTCTTCTCCTTTGTTTATCAAGGAGTTACCAGAAAGATAAGCCAATAATAAAGTATTTCGACAAATAAACTAAGTCGTGAGTGATATCTTCGCTTTTTGTTATTCTTATTGAGACTAAATAGCGAAATTTACAATATTGATCAAACAGGAGCCATAAATTTAAGTTTTTAGATTCTGAATATTGATTAATTAGAAGTGTCCTGTGCGCGAGTCGAGCTCGAAGTTTGAGCCTTCAATCTTGAAAAATTTTCGTTTTTCTCTAAAGCATCGACAAGAAATGAAACCTATGCTGGTCTAACTTTTCCGAAGCAGCTATAAACCATCTTTATCCCTTTATTCTTTTTACTCTCTCTAGTATTTTTGGGGTAAACGAAGTAAAAGGAGTAAAGTGACAAAGATTATTCATAGCTGCCAAGGAAACATCAGACTAGGATAATTTTAATTTTTTGTAGAACTATGTATTGTTGAGAGCTATCGCAAAGTGTCATAGTTAAAAGTTACCCTGAAAATAAATAAATTGCATGGATTAGTAACAATAATTATAGTTTAGTAGAATGATAGATTTTCAACTTTATTACATTCAAGAATAGTTACGACAAATATCTTCCAATTCTACTATCATCAATAGTATATCTTCTATGGATTTTACTGTTAAATCCATGAACATATGTTCTATATTGTAGTATCTCCTATTCATCTTTGTAGTATTGATTACGAATGTTTCCTTAACGGCTTCATATCCATTAAGTTTTAATTAAAAACGGTGTGGTACCTTAAGGTTGCCAACAGAAAAACCTAAGTCTATTGATATAATTGTCATTTTGCCTCTGTGACATATACCGATAATTTTTCTCATGAGTTCGTCTATCAATAAGACCCATTTTCTTTTACTAGGAGAGCTATTTGTGTCTAGCATTTCTATGAGAATAATTCATTTTTACCGTCCTTATCTAATTCATTTCTACTATCCTTATCTAATTCATTTCAACGATATTTGCTATACATTGTACTTAGTACTATATGGGGCTTATTTTCAAATAGAATTTTTCAAAAACAAGTCAATTCAAATATTACTTATTAGAATTTTATTCTTTCAGAATTCTATTCTTCATGTAAGTATTTATTAAATACATTTTAATTTTTATTATGAATGATTAAAATGTTTCCATAATGTTAAATAATAGTTATAGATGATGTTTTGATGTATATTTCTTTATATAAAGAAACACCTATTTTATCCGGATATAGTTCAACACTTTTACACATACGCAATGCACAAAAAAACCATCTTTTTCTTTATCCGTCATTAAAAGATATGCGCTGGCCGTTTATCAATATCTGAAGGTAGGAGGACGCTCAGATAGATTAAAAAAAA